TAATAATAATAATAACAGTAATCCCGCTGACCCCTCCGATGCGGCCCTACTCGGGTACCGGGGACCCCACCTCGCCTTCCCCGGGGACCCTCGGGATTTGGGGCACCCCACGGGGGGCGGAGGGAGGGCTGGGGGCTCCCCCTGCCCTTTCCCCCCCATCCCGGGGCTGGGGAAGGCGCTCCCCTTCCCGCGGCCGCTGCGGGATGATTGCGTGGAGACGAAGCCGAAATTGGCTATTTTTAAATTTAATTCGACCCCAAATCCCTCACTGCTCCGCGGGTTAACACCTCCAAGCTCCAGGGAAGCGGCCGGGAGTGAATTCCCACCTTCCCCCGCTCCTCCGGGCACACCGGGATTTTGGGAGGGCTAAAAAAAAAAATCAAAAAAACCCCAAAAAACCAAACCGGGGTCTCCGCGCAGCTCCCGAGGGGGGTTTGCACCCCAAATTCAACCCCGGGGAGGGGGGGACACCCAAGGACAGCCAAGCCCTTGCAGACCCTGAGCCCCCGAGCGGGGCCGGGCCTGGCTCCAGCCCCCGGAGCCATCGGGATGCGCCGAACCGGGACCGCGCCGGTGCCGCTGCCGGTGCCGGTTCCGCCCCGGTGCCCTCCCAAGCCCAGCCCGCCCCGGGCACGAGCAGCCCCCGGTTCGGTGCTGCCGGGGAAGCCCCGGGCTCCGCGCTGTGCCCTAATGAGCTCCGCTTATTCATTTCCTCATTAACGAATATTTCTCGCGGCCGAGCCGGCGCGCACCGGGACGCGCGTCCCCGGTTGCCCACGGCCCGTCCCGTCCAACCGGGGCTTGCCGGGGGCTCGGCCGGTCCCTGCCGGCTCCGGGAGAAGCAGCAGGCCTGGTCTGTGCGTCGGACACCCCAAATTTTGCGGCCAGTCTCGGAATTACCGTGCCCGATGCTGCGGTGCGACCGCCGCCCTCGGTGGCCCTGGAGACCCCCGGGTTGCCCCGGGGCTTTCCCCGGTAAAAGGCGATTGAACCGGGCCCGGCTCCTCCAACCGGCCGCTACCGGCGAACCCGCTGCCCCCCACCCCCGACGGCCAGGGTTTAGGGGAATGGGTGGCGTATTTTGGCTCCTTGATGGAGTTTTGATCAAAAATTCATTAAGAGGCGCTCGGCGCAGCGCCATGAATATTTCAGGGCTTTTGCAAAACAACAAAGTGGGTGTTTGGGGGGAGGATGCACCGGGGAGAGGCAGCCCCCGGTGCCCGTCTCGGCCCCGCTTTGAGGACGCCAGGAGGGAGCGGCCACCTCCGTTCCGTCGGGGTCGCCGTCGTGGCCACCGCTCGCCCGCAGCCCCGGGGTTCGCTGCCGCCCCGGTACAAGGCGTGAAACGGCCCCGGTTTTTCGAGACCGGTCCCGGTTGGAGAGGGCGACCCTGCAGGGACACGCAGCTCCTGCCCCCGGGGCTACCGTGACAATCTGGAGTGGCCCCGGCCCTGTCCGGGCCGGTCCCTGCGCTCCCCAGCTCGGGCAGAGCTGAGCGCTGGCGGCAGCGGGGGGACCCCATGGCCGGCCAGGATGTCCCCTCGGAACGGGGACAAGGGGGACAGGGGCTGCTCTGGGCAGGAAAAAAACCTCTTAAAAATCCCCCTCTGCCAGCCAGGGAGCACCCAGCTGGAAATGTCCCCCGTGCCCAAATTGGGGTGCGGATCCTCCCGGGCACAGGGAGCGGCGCCGGCTCCGAGCGGAGACAAAGCCCCGGCGGCTCCTCTGGAGCTCAGCACCCCCCGGAGCAGCGCAGCCCCCCCGGCTGGGCCTGCAGGTAACTGGGATTTACTGGGGCACCTCCCGGGCTACCTGGGAGCGCCAGAGGTGGCCACGCTGGGCCACGGGGAGGGGGGGGCGCAGCAGCTTTGTCACTTCCCAGCGTCACCCCGAGCACCCTGGGGGTCCCTGGGTGCCACTTTTTGGGGCATCTCCCCCCCCGTCCTCCCCCGCGCTGGGGACAGCGGGCAGCGAACTTGGGGACAGCGGGACACAAGGGCCTCTCTGAGGGGACCAGAGCGGGGCTGGGGACACCCCAGGGCACCTCCCGAGCCCAGTTTGGGGCTGGTGTCGCAATGGGCGGTACTGGACCTGCAGGCAGGGGTGGCATGTGCAGCTCCAGCAGCTCCCGGCGCTCCCGCCGCTGCCCTCCCGGTGCCGCCGGCCCTTCCCGTGTCCCGGGGCTGGGATGTGACGAGTCCTTGTGTCCCCCCCCCACTTCTTGTCGCCACCGCCACCCCACCCCGGCAGCCCCCAGCCCCTCCCCGGGGCTCACCTCGCCCTGACATTTCCTGGCGCTCCTTCCATGCCAGCGGGTTGCCATAGCAAATCTAAATCTTACAAACAAAACGAGGGGGAAGAAAAAGCCCTGATTAGCATATATTCAAATGAGCCGTGCAATAATGCAAACCATAAATCATGCAGTCATTGCTATTCAATCAGAGTCTCTTACCCCAGCCCCCACTCTGGCACTCGCTGCCTCGCCTCCTCTCGCCAGCCCGGTCCCAAAGGTGGCCCTGGAGGGGACCTGCCACCCTTTAGGGAGTGGGGGGTGGTGGCCCTGGGCCCAGCCCGGCTCGCCACAGCCCCTAATCCCGCCTGGTATTTGTGGCGCTCTATTAAACCGGGCAAACTCTTCCCAGGATTAATCTCCCGCCCAGGTTTTAATCTCGGGGCTCTAATCCCCCCCTCCCCAGCCGAGGGAAGGGGCCCAGCTCTGCTTTGGAGGGTGTGGGGGTCCCCCAGCCCTGCCTGAGCCCGACCTGGGGGTGCCCAAGCCGTGCTGGGGGGGGACCTAAACCCCCCAAAACGTCCAAAATCACGCCTGTGAGGTGATGGCGCCGCAGGAGCCTGGTGTCGCCTCCTTGTCACCTCCCAGCAGAGCGGCCCTGGCTGTGACCGTGCCTGTGGCCGTGCCCAGCACATCACAGACCCCAGGGGATGCTCCCCCACCCCAAAAAGCGGCAGCACCCCCGACCCCAGCCCAACCCTGAGCTAAAACAGGCTCAGCTCAGCTGGGCCGGGCCTTAAACCCCACCTTGCCCCCCAAATCCCGATTTTAAGGGGTTTTTCTTTCTCCTACCTGTTCCGAGACCCCTCCGAGAGGTTTTCTTGGGGTCACCAAGGGGTGGGAGCAGCACGGCTGAACCCCAAAGACCTGAGCAGACCAGGGGTGACCCGGCTGGCCAGGGACCCCCGAGAGGCGGCTCCGAGCCTGGGGGACACAGCGACGCTGAGCCCGCGGGGGCGTGGGCATGTGCCCCCCTTGGGGACATTAACGCCGTGCCACCCCAAACGGGGCTGCCTGGGCCCAAAAATCCCACAGAGACACCGCGAGACCCGCAGCTCTTTATTGGTGCGAAGATAATAAATAGAAAAGAGCCCCTGGCTGGGGGGCTCAGCACTCCCCACCCCGCCTGTCCCCTGGCCCCTCCGCTGTCCCCTGGCCCCTCCGCTGTCCCCTGGCCCCTCCGCTGTCCCCTGGCCCCCTGGGCCGCGGGACGAAGGCTTGGAGCCGCTGCCGGTGCTCTCAGTCCTGCTGCCACCGCGTGGCACTTCCCAGCCACTCCCGCTGGCTCGGGGACACGCTGGTGGCGCGGGGACAGGCGCAAGGACGGGCAGGGACAGTGTCCAAACGCCACCGGACAGGACACGGCGACAGCGCTGGGCTCCTGGCCTCGCAGGGGGTGGCGAGCAGAGCTGCAAGGAGGGGACTTGGTGACATTTGGGGGCTCCAGGGAGGGGGGTCTCGAGGAGCTGCATCCCCAGCGTAGGGGACAGTGACCCTGCAGGTAGCCCGGTGTCACCGCTGGTCGCCACGGCCGCACGGGGGGGGTGGGGGGGGCTGAGGGTGGGGAAGAAGCGGGGGGCTGCTCCCCCAAGCAGGGTTTCCCCCCTCCCCGCACCCCTCCGGCCTCGCTATCTCTGCCAAACGTCCACGGGCTGTCCCCTCCTCATGGGGACAGGGACCCTCTGCTCGTCCGGCAGCGGCCGCGGTGGCCCCAGCGCGTAGGGAGGGAAGCCCTTGGCGAAGTCATCGCGGGGCTGGAGGTCTCCGGGGGCTCGGGGGGCTTCGCTGAGGGACGCCAGGCTGGTCAGGGAGGGCTGGGGGGTGCCCGGGGGACAACCCAGCCCCGGTGACACCCGCTCCGATTTGATGCTGATGGCCTGGTGCTGCGGGGACGCGCCGGGGACAGCGGGCGGCTCCTCCGCGGGGACGATCCGGCTGCTGGCCCTGGGGCGAGACGGGAGGGGGCTGAGGGAGTGACACCCCTGGGTGTCCCCTTTTTCCCCCTAGAGGGGTTGAGATCGCCCTAAATTCCTGTCCTGGACTGGTTGTGGCCCAATTGGGCACTCCACGAGACTGGAGTGTCACTGGGTGGGGGACACACGCGGACAAGATCCATGGGGGAATCCGGCTGGAAATAAACTGGGGGTACTGCGGGGGTGACCCCCGAGACCACCCTGGTGCCTCGGTGCCAGCGGTGCCCATGGCTGGGAGGTGACACCCGTGGGTGCAGCAGAATGGGCTCATCCCCCCCTGTCCTCACCCCAGGGCCACCTCTGTCCTCACCCCAGCGCTGCCATGTCACCCCTGCCCTGTCCCCACCCCTGTCCCCCCTGTCCCCATCCCTGTCCCCCCTATCCTCACCCCAGCGCTGCCATGTCCCGGGCGTTCCCCCACGCCGGGGGCTGCAGGAAGCCGGGGGGCGGCGGGACCTCGCCAGCCCCAAAATCTGCGGGGTGGGAAGGGACACGTCAGTGAGCGGGGAGGGTGACAAAGGGAGGGGACAGCGCTGTGGCAAGGCTGAGGGACCGGGACTCACCCGCTTGGGCCGGGCTGAGGAAGGGGAAGCCGGCGAGGCCGTGGCTCGGGAGGCCGGAGCTGCCCGGGCTGAGCACGGGGCTCAGGGTCTGCAGGGCGGGGTACAGCGGCCGCTGCGGGAAACGGGGGGACCCCAATAAATTTTGTGCCCCAAAACTCCCGGGGGACCCCTCCCTGTGCTGCCTCCCCCCTCCCAGCAAAGCCCCGGAGGAAGGGGCGGAAGGGACGAGCGGGATTTGGGGAGGGGACACCCCAAGTGTGGCTTTGGGGACAGCAGACTCACCGCTGCGCTGCCACCGCTCCGGCCGCTCGCCACGCTGCCCTGGGACTCGCCACGCCGCCCCTCGGCCCCCAGGAACAGCGGCGGCGGCGTCTTGGTGGCCAGGGCGCGGCTCAGGCTGGCGGCAGGGAACAGGGGGTAGCTGAGACCTGGGGGACAGACGGACAGGAGGACGCACGGATGATGCTCGGGGGGTTCCCCGTGGCGACGGCCGCGGTGGCCGCGGTGGCCCCGGAGCCGTGGGCAGCCGTGTGTGCCTGCACGGTGCCGCGCTCCGGCAAAGCCACTTCCTCCATGGGCCACCTGGGCTGCGACAGGAGGTGACACGTCGAGGCAGCGCCTGGATGTGGCTCTGGGGCCACAAAAGGGCGACAGGGGCTGCAAACCCCCCCTGGCCGGACCCTGCTGGGGTTTGGGGGGGCTGGGATGTCCCATGGGAATGTCCTGAGGCCACCACGCTGTCCCCACCCCGGGATTTGGGATGCTGCCTGTCCCCATCCCGTGCCACCTCCCACCCACCCGGGGGGTTTCCACTCATCAAGCCCCGCGTTTTCTGGGGTTTCCACTCATCAAGCCCCGCGTTTTCTGGGGTTTCCAGCTGCTTTCCTGTCACCTCCCGGGATGGGCTGTGCCACACGGGAGGGACCTGCGGGCACAGGGTGAGGGGACAGCTGGGGACCGGGTGCTGGCAGGGCACAGGAAGCAGCTGGAGGGAGATCGGGGCCGGTGTTTCCACAGCTGCGGCACCGCTCCTGCCCACGCAGCCGCCCCGGCCCCGCTCCCGGTAAATCCCCGGGAGAGGAGCTTTGCATGCGGGGCCGGGCCGGGAAAATCCCCGCGGGGCCGCGGGGTTCGGGTGCTCGTGATGGGGACGGGGTGGCCACGGAAGGGTGGCCACGGAAGGGACAGGGTGGCCATGGAAGGGACAGGGTGGCCATGGAGGGGATGGGTTGGCAATGGAAGGATGGCCACAGAAGGGACAAGGTGGCCATGGAAGGGACAGAATGGCCATGGACAGGACAGGGTGCCCATGGAAGGGACAAGGTGGCCATGGAGGTGACAGGACACCCATGGCAGGGTCCCTTTCCCTTGTCCCCACACCCTGCAGCGTCCCCAGGTGAGGGGCCCGAGCCTACCTGGGGGCAGTGGCCCTGGGGACCGTCCTGGTGGCTTTGGAGGCGCGGGTCTGAAGGCAGGAGAGCGGCCCTGGGCCTGCGGGGAGCTGCTGGCACTGCCCAGGGAGCTGTCGGTGCCCGGGGGCGAGCTGCCATAGGCGGCCTCGGGCAGAGGCACCGGGCTCTGGGGGGACACACAGGGGTCAGGGACAGCGACCTCGGGGCCTTTGGGGACCCTTGGGAACACACAGGGGTCAGGGACAGGGAGAGGTCAAGGCCAGGGAGGGGGTAGGGACACTTGGGGACACTTCGGCCTCTTCAGGGCAAAGCAGAGATCAAGGACAAGGAGTGGACAGGGACCCTCGGGACCCTTCAGGACAAGGACAGGGATGGGATGGGAACACTTGGGGACCCTCGGGACCCTTCAGGACAAGGACAGGGATGGGATGGGGACACCTTGGGGACCCTCGGGACCCTTCAGGACAATGACAGGGATGGGATGGGGACACCTTGGGGACCCTCACCCCACCAACAACTCACATAAAACCGGGGCCGCGCCAGCGACAGATCCACTCCCTCCCCGATCCTTCTCCCCCTGTCCCCGGGGGGCTCCGGCCCCTCCTCCAGCTCCAGCTCGTGGCTCTCCAGCCCCAGCCCTTTGCGTTTCAGCGTCTGCGGGGGAGGTGACAATGAGCGGGTCCCTGCGGCCACCGCCGGGGCCCCGGGGGCCACCCCCGGCCGCTACCTCGAGGATGTCGGAGTTGGTGCGGCTCTCGTGGGGCTCGCTGTACTCGGTGTACTTGAGCAGCACCTTGTCCATGTCGGTGCTGGCGTACTGGAACAGGCGGTTGGTGCTGTTGAAGATGATCAGGGCGATCTCGCAGTCGCACAGCACGCTCAGCTCGTACGCCTTCTTCATCAGCCCGAATTTCCGCTTGGTGAAGGTCACCTACGGCGAGGACGGGCGTGAAACACCCCCAAAAACAGCCCTGAGTTGCCCGAAAATTTATCCCCAAGGGGTGCTGCTGCAGGGTGGTTTCGTCTCTCTTCTTTTTTGTCCCCGAGCAGCCCCTACCTGCCGGTTCCGCTGATCCAAAATGCGGCTGATCTGGATTTTTTTCCGGCCCATTTTCGCCTCCTCTGCTGGGTTTGGGGCTGGAAGAGAGCGAGAAACTCCTGAGCCCCACAGCCCTCGGGACCGGCCCCAGCAACGCCAAAAATAAATTTGGCTGCTGAAAAAAAATCAATTTTCGGAGGAAGTTCGGTCATTTCTTCTTCCGTGAAGATGGTGGCCAAGCGCAAAATGGGGGGAAAACGGGAAATTCTGCTGGGTTAGAGGGGGAAAAAAATCCCCTTGGCCTTGCCCAACCACCCCAATCCAAATCCCCGGGGCACCCCCGAGCACCTTTGGGTGTCGTTTGGAAAGCGGCGCTGCCGTGATCCCAAATCCTTTCAGCGGGATTTTGGGATCAGAGTTTTCATCCCAAATCCTTTCAGCGGGATTTTGGGGTCAGAGTTTTCATCCCAAACGCAGGGGGCGGCTCCGAGGCTGCTCCTGAATCTGCTCCGTGGGATGAGGAGGGCGTTTAAAAGAGGGCAGGGCTGGCCAGCGGGGAGGGTCCCTCAAACAAAAGGGTTGGTTTTAAGTTCAAATTTGGGGATTTTTTTTTTTAATTTTAATTTTTTTTTTTTTTTCAAGCTCCAGCAGACTAAATTTGACCTCTGCCACTCACAGGCCAGGAAGTGGCTGCACGAGGAGACAGCAAAGTGAAACCACCCACCCACTCCTTGGGCCCCTGAGCCGGAGCCGGGCAGGACACGGGGCTGGGGACCCCCCTGTGCCACCCCCTCCGAGCCTGGGACACCCCCCTGCTGTCACCCCCACAAAATTCCTGCTGCTCTGTCACCCCCACAGCAAACCCACCCCAAAATCCCCGAATGGGGCAGAAGCGTGAGTGGCACCGAGATGTCCCCAGCGGGACCCTGATGTGGGGACAGGCCCGGCCTGGCTTTGTCCCTGCTGTCCCCAAACCACGAAAAGGAGGCAGGAGCGGGGCTGGGGTGGCAGCTCGGTGTTGGGATAATTTTGGGACCCCCCAGCTCGGCCAGCAGCCCCCCCCAATGCCAGGCTGGGTGCCAGGGGTGCAGTTGGGGACCCTTGGGTGCCCTGATGCCCCTGGCGTGTCCCCCTTCCCCCTCTCGAGCACGTTGCCATTTTACCATCGTGCTCGGCTGCTATTTTTAGCTGATCAAAACTAATTTTAATTTATGGAAGGAAATTGCGCTGCCGTTCCCACGGCCCCGCTGCCACCCTGTGTCCCCAGGCCCACGCACGACCCCCCCCCCCCCCCCCCCCCCCCCCCCCCCCCACTCACCTGCTCCTCCAGCGCAGCCCGGCCCCCCCTCCCCCCGAGGGTGCCCAGACCACCCCGGCCCTGCCGGAAAGGGCTGAGAATTCCCAGGTGGAAAAGCCGAGGTTTTCCCATTCCCAACCATCCCTGGGACGGCTCCTCCCGGCTCCGACACCTGCGGCGCCCCCTGGGCACATCCCGGGGGTCCAAAACCCAAAATGTTGGATTTTGGGGGTTGGGATGTTTGGGGTAGGGGATGCTGGCCCGGCTGAGACCCCAATGTGTCCCCACAGAACCTGGGGGGATTTTTGGGGCTCTGGAGTTGGGGATGGAGGGAGGGAAGGATGGATTGGATCCATGGACAGATCCACGGATCCATAGAAGGATGGAAGGATGGATGGATGGATGGATGGATGGATGGATGGATGGATGGATGGATGGATGGATGATGGATCCATGGATGGATCTACAGATGGATCCACGGATCCATGGGTGCGTCCCCCACCTGCAGCAGGGACATGAAATAATTCCAAGGATTTACTCGGGGACAACCCCCCACAGACCCTTGGATGTCGTGGTACCTCAGTGCCCCACGGGGTGATGGCCAGGGGGTTCTGGAAGGTTCCAGCACCCACAAGACGATGGTGAGAAGGTCCTGGAAGGGAGGAGAGGGAGTCCAGAGGAAGCAGAGCCGCATCGCCATCGATGCCGAGGATCCAGGGGATGCAGGGACCCTCCAGGACGGGGCTCTCGGCGCCGGGAGAAGCGCCCGGGGCCGTTCCCTTCCTCAGCCCCCGCTGCTCACGGCTCCGCTCCCCCCGCAGCCCCGGGGCCACCAGAGCTGCCAGCAGAGCTGAGGTGGCACCAGGAAGGCGCCACTCGGTGTCACCTCCGGGCAGGTGTGAAGGGCTGGGAGGGGACGGGGCATTTTCCTTCTTTCCGTGGTCAGGTGACCACGGGCATTGTCACCTCCAGGGACATTGTGGCCTCCAGCCAGGTGACACCTCCAGGGCAGGATGGAACCCGGTTCCAGGCTCGTGGAGCCCGGAGCCGCTCCTGGCCTTGTCCCCACCACGGGGACACGCTGGATGTCCCCTGAGCAGCGGCACCCCAGCAAACCCCCGCGCTCCCGAGGTTCCAAACCTTCCAGACTGGAGATTTTTCCCCTCTCCCTGCTCCGGGAGAGGCTCCGCCGCCTCCCACGGCTGCTTATCTTTAGCACCGGGGTTGGGATCGCTCCCACCTCATCCCAAACATTCCCAGTGGGATCCAGCGCCCACAGCGGGGTCTCACCGCCACCCCCCGGTTGGGATCGGGTTTATAATCAACCCTCCCGGATCCTCTGAGCATTTCGGGGGTGAAAATTCCTAATTTCAGCTCCTAATTAATGAGCTGAGACCAAGCGAATCCCAGGAGAGCCGCGTGTTTTTCCGTGAGCCGGTGTGGGATTCCCGGCACCACAGCGCTGCCTCCAACACCCCCTGGATGATCCCAGAAATCTGAAATCCACCGGATTTACCCTAAAAATCCAAGCAGGTGGGGTATGAAAGGAAAAAGCTGCTCCAGAGTTTGAGCGCTCCCCAAGTCAGAGGCTCGGGGGTCCCCAGGGATTTATCCTCCCTTGGGCACAGAAAGTGGAGGAAAAGGGTTTTTTTACCAAATTATGGAGGATTTGCTGCCAATTTGGGAGCTGGGGGTGATTGGGCAGGACTAGGAGGGGAATGATTATCAAATACCCGCTGGTGGCACCTGGCAGCTCCCAAAAAGCGTTTTGGTGGAGGAAAACAACGATGAAAGCGAGGAGAAAGAGTTTCCATCCCTTCTTTTACAGCGAGGGAGGGGGAAAATCTGAGCCAGGAGCAGCGAAATCCTCCAGGAGGGCGGGGATGGTGCGAGGACCGGATTGAAAACGAGGATTTAAAACGGGGATTTTAAACGGGGATTTAAGGAGCGCTGGACACGAAGCGCTGGGAGCAGAGGGACGAATCCAATCCTGGATTGGAGGTTTTGGATCCCGGAGATCCCCCGGGAACGGCTGAGCTGGTGCGAGCAGCATCCCGAGCCCCGGCACGGGGAAAAGTCAAAGTTGAGCGCGGAGTTTGTGCCGGGCCCTTCTGCTTTTTATAGGTTGTTTAAACAAGAGACCAGTTGTTTAAACAAGAGACCAGCGCGGGGCTGGCAGCGCTGGGTGGGGACTGGCGAGGCAGGGGGAGCCAGCTGGGAAGTAGGGGAAAGGTGGGGAGGGACTTTTGGGACCACCACGACCTCGCAAAGATCACCCGGCAGCCACAAAGCCCCTCAGGCTCAGGGGGGCAGTGCCACCCTCCAGCCCCGCTGTCACCTCGCCGTCGCCGTCACCTCGTGGGTGACACAGAGCGAAAGTCCCGAGCGCTGCCACGGCCCGGTGCCGATGGGCGGGGGCTTTTCGGTTCCAAAATGAGTGTGTGGAAGGAGGAAGGATTGAATTGAGCCCCCCCCAAAAAAACCAAAAAACCAGGCGGCTCAGGAGGATGAATGGACACAGGGACCCCCCCGGAGCACGGCTGGGGCTCGGTGGATGCCACATCCAAGGAAGGAACTCGCGATTCCCGGGGGATTGGGCTGCCCCAGGCCGCAGCTGGGAATGAATTTGGGAAGTGGAGCCCAGTTGGTGCTGGGGGCACTCGGGCTGACCTCGGCCCGGCCCCGTGGCTTTAGGGCTGCCTGGCTCACCGGCCTGGTTTGCTCCTGATAATCCTGCTGGGATTTTGGGGAAGAGGAGGGAAATTCAAGGGGTTTAAATTGACCTAATTTCTTCCCCAAATCCTTCTGGGTACCCCCCACTGCAGCGTGCCAGGCTTTCCAGCCCTCTCACTGCTGGGATGACCCAGCAGGATCCCAAAGTTCCCCAAAGTTTCCCAAACCCACTTTTTTTTGGGATGTCATGGCCGCTCTGGGCTTGGAGGTGTCCGGGAACGTTTGAGATCCTAACGCAGACCTGAGGCCTGTGCCCACCTCCCTCCTTCCCGACCCCCACACCTCCCCACACGTCACACTGACGTGTCCAGCTGGCAGCGGGGACAGGGAACAGGGCCAGGACCGGCACGTCCGGATGGGTCACCCACGCTCCTTTCCCAGCCGATGTCCCCAGGGGTGCCCACGGGGGTCCCCTGGGGGGCACAGCCCATGGTCCCGTCCCTGCTTTCCCGCTCATCCCGAGCTTCCACGGGAATTCATTCCCTGGGAAACGCCAGAGCCGGCAGCGCTGGGAACGTGAAAAGAGAAAAAACGCCGAGGATGGGGACAGGGACAGGGACAGGCTGGCAGTGGGCTGTGCCGGGCAGGAGGATCTGGCAGAGGATCCTCTACGGGTGACAGGGGGACCCAGGTGCACTGGGACAGCCTGGAGATGTCACAGGAGGTGCCACCACCCTGGAGATGTCCCTGGCAGGAGTCGTGGCCGTGTCCCGTCCCCTCCTGGGAGGGGGAAGGAACCGAGCTGCCACCAGCACGTGCCGGGACAGCCAGGCCGCTGTGCCACCCCAGCGAGGCGACAATGCCATCGGGGTGGCGGTCCCCGCTGTCACTACAACCACGTCGGGCCGACAGCCGTGCCTCAGTTTCCCCCCTGCGCCCTGAGCTCAGCCCCAGCCCCCAAGGGCCGCGGTGGCCCCGGGGGGTGGCGGCGGGGCCGGGACAGGGCGGCTGCCACCCAGGCTGCACTTTTGGGTTAAACCCGGGCGTTCCTCCCTGCACAGACACGAGTAAAAATAACCGCCCCGAGCTCGGCGCAAACCACAGGCTTTTTATAGCCCGCCATCCCGAGACGGCGGGGCGGGGGCCGGGGCTCCGCCGTGCCCAGAGCAGCCCGCCGGGCGCCGGCCCGGCCGCACCGGCCCCTCCCCGGGCCGGCCCCGCTCCCCCTGCCCGGGCGCCCCGACGGAGCGGACGGAGCACAGACAGAGCGGAGAGCGCCCGTGCCGTCTGTCATTGTCCCCCGGGCCCGGTGCCGCTCACACCGGAGCGCGGTCGCCGACCCGGGAGCCGCCGCGGGACACGCACCTGGACAGCGGCAATTCCTCCTCCTCTTCCTCCTCCTCCTCCTCCTCCTCCCAGCTCGGCCGCGGCTGCCCGGAGCTGCAGCGGAGCCGGGGAGGCCCCGGGGCTGATCCCGGTGCTGATCCCGGTGCCGGTGCCGGTGTCGGTGCCGGTCCCGTTCGTGTCCCCGCAGCGCGCGCTGCCGCCGCCTGCCCGAGCAGCGCCGGTGACATTTGCATAACCCCGCCCATCCCGCACGAATATTTGCATACAGCAGCCGGGCTGCTCTGCCATTGGATAAAGGGGGACGTTATTTGCATAGCCACACCCCTGACTGGGTGATGGGTGTGGCGAAGGGAAGGGGGCGTGGCCTGAGGGTTTCGGGAATGGGGACCTTTGCGGGTTTGGGGGTCGGGATTGGGGGAATTTCGGGGGGATTTGGGAAAATTGGGTTGGGGGCGGCGCTGGAGGGATGTGGGGGAGGATTGGATTGGGCAGGGAAGGGCGTGGATGAGTTTGTGGGAATGTGGGGGGCAGGAATTGGGGTGAGGCTGGGGGGCTCAGGGGAATTGGAGGGGATGAGTTTGTGGGAATGTGGGGGCTGGAATGGGGGTGAGGATGAGGAGGTTGAGGGGCTGGGATGGGGGATTTGGAGGGGAGGGCATGGATGAGTTTGTGGGAATTTGGGGCCCTGGGATGGGGTGAAGTTTGGGCGGTCCCGGGGGATGTTGAGCCCTCGCTCTGGGGTTCAGGCCGGGCTGAGATGAAGCTTTTGGGGCGCAGTTTCCGCACCAGGCTCTGGGTTTGGTTCATGGCAGATCCATTTCAGATTTCAGGGGACCCCCCCCAGCCCCTTCAGCCGCAGGGTTTGGGGGTGTCACTGCCGAGGTCCCCAATGTCACCGAGGGCTCAACAAAACCCCCTCAGCTCCAAACGGGGACACCCAAGGCACCCGCTTATTTTTAATTCATTTTATATTTTTATAAATGCAGTGACCGCCCTGGGGGAGGGCTCTCTTCTCCCTCCTCCTGTCCCAGCCTGTCCCCGTGTCCCCAGTGGTGACAGTGCCACACGGAGGCCGTGAGGAACCCCGGGGACACCGAGAGAAACCCCAACACCTCCGTGCCACCCTCCCGGCCCTGGCAGCACCTGGGACATTCCCGAGCTGCCATTCCCTGTCCCCAGCGCCAGCCCGGGGAAGGTGACGGGAACGCGAGGGTGAGGAGCAGGGAGCAGAGGAGCGTGTGAAGATGCCCCAAAGTGACTTTGGAGGACAAAAAGGGGACAGATGCTGCCGGTGACAGATCCTGGGGCTGAGGGCAGGGAATAGCGCAGTTGGAAGTCGGAATTCCCGGCGGGAATGCGCGGAGGAGCCGGGACGAGGATTTGCTTTTCTCCAGAGGGAGCAGAACTTGAGCTCGGGGGATGCTCTGACCCCAAAACCAGCGCAGCCCGTGCCCGGTTCTGGGGTGAGCTCTGCCCTGATGGGGACACGCTGTGCAGCCACAGGGGTGACCAGGACACCGTGCGGGGGATCCTGACCCTCCCGGCCCCTCGGGAAGGTGCCGGGATTCCCGGGATCCCACAGGAACCCCTCCAGGAGGAACAGATGCAATTCCAAAATTCCCATTCCATGAGAGGAGCTCCGGGGCAGCAGGTGGAAAAAACGGAAATATCAGGGAATTCAGGGAAATCAGGTCCCACCCAGCCTCACAGCAGTGACATTTTTGCACCCTGGACACGCCGGGGGTCCAGTCCCAGGAAGACTGGGAGGAAAATCCGGAGAAATGAGGAATTTCTGGGTGAGGCTCCCAAGCCGCGCTGGCATTCAGGACGTGACATCTTCCTTAGAGCTGCTTTTAACTCTTGTGATTAATTGAGTGCAATTATCTGAGTGTTAATTAGCCCCGCTAGTAATCTTAATTGATCCTGAAGAGGGGGTTGGGGGGAGAACTGAAGCGCCAGAGCTTCAGCAGAGTCTGAGGTGACACATCCAGGTGTCTCTGGGACAGTTTGGGGACACTGCGGTGGCTCTTTGGGTGTGGGACATCCCTGCCCTGCCCTGTCCTTCCTTCAGCTCGGGCATCCCAGGGTCTGGCCCGGGTCAGGGCCACTCCCAGCCCAGCCAAAAAAGCCATTTTTGGGCACTCGGTCCCCTCCAGATCAGGGGGTGCCCAGGCCGGGCCGGGCTTGGCTCCTCCTTCCCGTCTTCAAAGCTTTGAGCTCCCTCTTGAGGCTCTTCCAGCCCCCAAATCCTGGGATTTTGGGGAGCCTGAGGTGCTGGGTGCCCTGAGATGAGAGCAGCACCCCGAGTGACCCCGGTGGCTGAGCTCTGTCACTGCCCAGGGCACGGCAAGGGGACAGAGATGCCGTCACCAGCAGCTGGTTTGGGGACTTGGGGCCGAGTCCCAGGGACTGCCATCCCCCCCCCCCCTTCCAAAAAATGCTGGAAACGAGCCTGGAGCCAAATTCCTGCTGCTGCCAAGGCCAACACGGCGGGGTTTCAAAATAGCCCCGGGTCCTGCGCGGTGCCAGCGGGAACCACCCACGCGGGATGGGAGGGAAGGGACAGGAAGGGACAGAAAGGGACAGGAGGGGACAGCCAGCACCGCTCCTCCTGCAGACAGAAAGGTCACCTCGGTCTGGATCCCACAGCCCGGCCTGGGCACGGCTGCTGACACCGGGATGGAGGAGGCTGAGGGGCACCCAATGTCCCCTGGTGTCCCCTGGTGTCCCCTGGTCTCATCTCCGGGGTAACTCCTGTGCCAGGAGTTCCTTCAGCAGCTTCTCTCCCAAGGTGCCAGGTGAATTTTTGGGTGAATTTTCCCGAGTTCATCCTGCTGGAAACCTCCGCGATTCCCATGGGAAGGCGCTGGCGGGGCAGATCCCAAAGGGAAAGGCGATTCCGCTTCCCAGGATATTTATAAGACATGGGAAACTCGTGGGGGTCCCAGGGGTTGGCTCGAGGGTCCTTTCTCAGCCTGGCAGGACTGGGAACATTTTGGGAGCTCCCTGCGGGGCTGGAGGGGAAAATCCCGGAGCAGGTGGAGGCCAAAGGTGCCTCTCCCGGGGGGACGCGGGATCAGGGAATCGCCTCGTCCCACACCGGGATTCAATCCCGGGGTTTTCACGGCAGCGGGAAAGGCGGGGCTGGGAATGGGGGAGGCGGCTCGATGTCCGTCTGTCCGTCCATCCTCAGTCTCCACCCCCCGGAGGCTCCCGGGGCCCCGCCGGGGGCGGGCACGGAGGCAGAACGGGGCGGACACGGCGGAACGGAGGCGCTCCCGTTCCCGGTTCCCATTCCCCAGTCCCGGTTCCCATTGCCCCTTCCCATTCCACGTCCGAGCTCCCGCAGCGGCGGCACCCCCCGGTTGTCCCGGTTGTCCCGGTGCCCGGTTCTCGGTTCCCGGTGCCGGTGCCAGCCCGGCCATGCCCTCCCCGTACCCACACCGAGCCCTGACGGTGCTGCTGCTCTTCGGGACCTTGTCCGCTGCCATGGCCCTGCTCTCCTCCAGCCTCATCTTCCAGCTGCCGTCGGGCCGGGCCGTTCGCGGTGCCGGTACCGGAGCCGGTACCGGTCGCGGGGCGCTCCCGGAGCCGGTGGCCGCCGCTCTGGTGCCGGTATCGGCCGTGCTGGCCGCGCTCTGCCTGGTGCTCAACGTGAGCTGCCTCCTGCTCTGCCTCCTCCACGGCTACTGCAGCACCGAGCTGTGCCGGGGACAGCCCGGGCCCGAGCGGTGAGAGCCGCGGGGACACCGGGGACACCGGGGACACCGGGGCTGGGGGGGCTCGGGAGCCGCGGGGATGCTCGGAGGGGTCCGGGGGAACCGGGATGGAGGGTCCAGGGGGGTTCGGAGGGGTCTGCGGGAACCGGGTCTTGGGGGGCTCCAAGGGCTCTGGGGGATGGACAGGAGGGAAGGGCTGGGGGGGTTTGGGGGGGCTGGGGGGGCCAGGAGGGGTCAGGGGGGCGGACAGGTCTGGAGGACACCGAGGGATGGGGAACGAGGGGCGCAGGTGGCACTGCCACCCCGGCATTGTCACAGACGTCGCCACACGGTCCCCTGAGCACGGGGAGCTGCCAGCCCCTCCCGAACCCCCCAAAACCCACCGGAGGATTTGCGGGGTCTCCCCCCAAGCGGGGCTGTGGGGAGCAATCCCTGGAAAATCCCCCAAATTCCCCCCCGTGACCACCAGGGCTGCCATCGCGCCTTTAATTTGAATTTTAGAAATTTTAAACCGGGACCAGCGAGTTTGGATCTGGCTGCACAACCCAGGGCGTTTAATTTGCACGGTTTGAAATTCCCAGCGTGTTTTGGGGGGGGGTCACGGGAGCTCCTGGGGTCACCCCAAGCCCCTGGGATCGCCCCAAAATGTTGCCCATGACGTCACCGCTGGGGTGACCACCCTGGCCACCAAATGACCCCAGGGCTGGGCCATTAACCAGGGCCACGTGTTGATTTAACCATGACCAACATTTTTACATCTGCAAAGTTCTTCCCGAAGAAATTCCTTTTTTTTTTTCCATGGATCTGGAACGGGCTGGGGGCTCCTGGCCCAGCTCCTGCGTTAAAACTAAAAAAAAAAACAAACAAAAAAAACCAACTCGGGAATAATCCGATTTTTAAGGATTTTAGACAACTGGACATCGTGGGGGACATTCAGGGCGGCTCACGCAATTTTGGGACCGCTGTGGCTTCAGTCAAAACTCATTTAAAGGGAATGACGATGTTCCAGCAGCTACTTTTTGTCCCTAATTAGAGAATCCAATCAGTCCCAGCTCTGCACGGAGCACCGGGCTGGAGAAATTCCAGCAGCGCCTCCTCAGCCTCTTCCAACGCTTCATTAACGGAGGAGAGCAAAAATATTTCCCCAAAAACACCAAAATTCCCACAACAAACTCGGCTTTTTGTGGGAGCTGCCGGAAAATTAAAAACAAGAAAATTCCCTCCCCCCACACCTCGAGTTGTGAAAATTTTTTTTTGTGATCCCCGCTTGGATTTTGGGCTGTAAATGTTCATTTTGGGAGCTGGGAAGTTGAAATTCGGGAATTGCGGTCACAGGTGAGGACAAGGAAGGAAAAATTTAATTCCCAAAATTAAATTTTTAAAGAAATTTGATGTTCTTTGCTCCCAAAAACTCCCAGAGCAAAGCGCGGGGAGGCTCTACCCAAATAATTTGAATTTCGGGCGGATTTTTGTGCCCGTCCGCGCTGCGAGAATTTGGGAATTCCTCCCGCCGGGAATCTCCAGCAGATCCCTCCACCCGTGCCTCAGTTTCCCCAGCTGCGGTTGGGAGCGTTCAGCTCAGATTTGGGAGGAAAAACGGGATTTGGGGATTTTGGGGGCCAGGAGGTGGCAGCGATGTCCCCGGGCCGTGGTGGCACCGAGGGAGGCGCTCACGTCGCGGGGACTTTCGTGACGTTGGCGGTGCCACCCCCAATTAACGGTGTCACCCCCAATTATCGGTGTCACCCCCAATTATGGGTGCCACCCCCAATTATCGGTGCCACCCCCAATTAACGGTGCCACCCCCAATTATCGGTGTCACCCCCAATTAACGGTGTCACCCCCAATTATCGGTGTCACCCCCAATTATGGGTGCCACCCCCAATTATCGGTGTCACCCCCAATTAACGGTGTCACCCCCAAGTAACGGTGTCACCCCCAATTATCGCTGGCTCTGAGCAAACCCAGCGGTTCCGTCCGGGGTTCCTCAGCTCCAGGGATTTTTCCTGGGTTTGGAACAGGACCAGGATCAGTTTGGAGTTCCTCAGCCCCAGATTTTTTTCCCTGTGTTTGGATGATTTCAGTTCCTCAGCCCCAGATTTTTTTTCCCTGTGTTTGGATGATTTCAGCTCCTCAGCCCCAGATTTTTCCCCCGGGCTCAGAGCAGGACCTGGAGCGTTGCCCAGCGCTGTTCTCCCTGAATTCCCAGTTTGTTTCCCCTGAATTCCCAGTTTGTTTTCCCGCATTCCCAGTTCCTTTCCCTCTTCCCCAGGGCACTCTGGTTCCTCCTGGACAGTCGCAGTGTCCGGCACGCGGCCATCGGCATCTTCTGCTGCGGCCTCTGCCTCTACCTCACAGGCAAGAGCCCCCGGTGATCCCAGTGATCCCAGTATTCCCAGTGATCCCAGTGCCACCAGTGATCCCAGTATTCCCAGTGATCCCAGTGCCACCAGTGATCCCAGTATTCCCAATAATCCCAGTGCCACCAGTGCCACCAGTGATCCCAGTATTCCCAATAATCCCAGTATTCCCAGTGCCACCAGTGATCCCAGTATTCCCAATAATCCCAGCGATCCCAGTGCCACCAGTGATCCCAGTATTCCCAATAATCCCAGCGATCCCAGTGCCACCAGGGCTCCCAGTGATCCCAGTGCCCCCAGTATTCCCGGTGCTCCCAGTATGCCCAGTGATCCCAGTGCCCCCAGTATTCCCAGTGCTCCCAGTCCAGCCACCAGGGAGGTTTGGAGCAGCCATCCCTGGAGGTGTCCCAGGAATTCCTGGGGCCACAGCTTGGACATGGAGCTCTCAAACATTCCATGAATTTGTGAATCCATCCCTTTTCCAGCCCCCAAAAATTCCAGGAATTCACAAATCCATCCCTTTTCCAGCCCCCAAAACTCCAGGAATTCACAAATCCATCCCTTTTCCAGCCCCCAAAATTCCAGGAATTTACAAATCCATCCCTTTTCCAGCCCCCAAAACTCCAGGAATTTACAAATCCATCCCTTTTCCAGCCCCCAAAACTCCAGGAATTCACAAATCCATCCCTTTTCCAGCCCCCAAAATTCCAGGAATTCACAAATCCATCCCTTTTCCAGCCCCCAAAATTCCAGGAATTTACAAATCCATCCCTTTTCCAGCCCCCCAAAATTCCAGGAATTTACGAATCCACCCCTTTCCATGCCCTGGCAGCTCTGGCCCTTTTCATGCTGCTGCTGTTCGAGCTGGAGGCTGGAATCGCCAGCGCCTGCATCCTGACCTCGGGAATTCTCGTCCTGCTCCTCTCCGTGCTCCACGCGCTGCTCCGCGCTTCCCAAATTTCCCAAAATTCCCAAAATTCCCGCTCGGAGCCTTCCCAAGCCCTGTACGAGAACGACTCGGCGCAGCCCGGGGGCGGCAGCGATAAATCCGCGGCTCCTCCCGGGCCCGAAATCCGCCGGGAATTCTCCTTCCCCACTTTCCTGGAGCGCCAATCCCAGCCGGGCCCGGAATTCCAGCGGGAATGTCGCGATTTATCGCGCACGCACCGGACGCTGGGGGAGGATCCGGGGCAGGGAAATCCCTGGAATGTCACCGGGAGGGAAATGAGGAACGGGACGGCCCGGAAAGGAACCGGCAGGGATTCCACGCTGGTGTGAGGGAAAAGCCGCAGCTCCCAGCTCTGGATTCGGGATTTGGCACCTCTGGGATTCGGGATTTTCCAGATCTGGGATTTGGGATTTGGCACCTCTGGGATTTGGGATTTTCCAGCTCTGGGATTTTTGGATTTTACAGCTCTGGGATTTGCGATTTTCCAGATCTGGAGTTAGGGATTTTTGAGCTCTGGAATTTGGGATTCGGGATTTTCCAGCTCTGGGATTCGGGATTTTTTTCCAGATCTGAGATTGGAGATTTTGCAGTTCTGGGATTCAGAATTTTCCAGCTCTGCGATTTCAGGATTTGGGATTTTATAGCTCTGGGATTCGGGATTTTGGGATTTGCAGCTCTGGAGCAGCAGTTCCTGCTTTTCCATGTTTTTGGAAAATGTTTTCCCTGGAAAAACGCTTTTATCCACAGCCCAAATCCCGCTGCTGCCTGCCTGGATCCCCCAGACCCAACCAAGCCCTTCCCAGCTGTGGGAAAGCAGATTTGGGGAGGGAAAAATCAGATTTGGGGAGGGAAAAATCAGATTTGGGGTGGGAAAAGGCTGATTTGGGGTGTCACTGCCATTATCCCAAAAGCCACCTGTTATCCCAATCCCAATTGTCCTGGAATTTGAGCTCAGCACTGAACTCCATTCCCTGCATCCCTGGAAAATCCAGGAGGGATCCACACCAAAGCTCTGCTTCTTTCCAAGAGTGGGACAAAAACAGGAAAAAAATCCTTTTTTTTTTTTTTTGGTAGGATTTTAAGGAATGGGACAATTCCTTTTCTCCCTTGAAAGCCTAAAAATTCCACTTTATTTTGCTCCATGCCCTTGGAAACACTGGAAAAATAAAAGGAGCTCCAAGCTCCCACGGTGACAAGTTTAAAACCTTTAAAAAGGAATTTTTTTGTTGGTTTTTTTGGGATTTTTTTTTTTTTTTTAATTCTCTTTTTATTCTTGTCCTCATTAAAAACAAATCCAGCAATTCCTTGGCACTCACTGGCAAAGTTTCTCCTTGGAGAATTCCTCCTCAACAAAAGCTTGGAGTGTGCTCACATTCCAGCTTTTTACACAAAATTCCCAAAGCAAGACCTCATGTGGGGAAAAAAATAAATAAAAAAAAAAAGCTGGGAAAAAAAAAAGGATAAATAAAACCACCTCGTTTTTCCATGGAAAACACGTCCCAAAAAGCAAGATTTGGGATTTTCCAGCTCTTTTTTTTTTGTTTGGGAATTCAGGGGGTTTCTCTACCTTTGCAGCCACAGAGGTTTTTTGGGTTTTTTTCCATTTCTTCCCGAGGTTGGGAAATTCAGGATGGAAAAATCAAGAAGTGCCTGGAGGATTCTTGGGTTGGGGGGTGATGGTGCTGTGGAAAAAAAAAAAAGAGGAAAAGTCAAATCCAGCTGAAAATGGGGGGAATTTGGGGTTTCACAGCTTTATTTCTGCAGGCTGGAAAATCCCAAAAAATCTCCCCCTCGGAAATCAGAACAAATCCTAAAAAAATCCCTCAAAAAATTTAAAAATGAATCTTCAAAAAGTCCTCCCAAAAATCCCCCCCCAAAAAAAAATTCAAAGAAATCCCAAATACCCCACAGGGATAAAGGATCCCAACTTGAGGAGCTGTTTTTTGGGGTTTTTTTTTGGGATTTGGGAATTTCCTCCTCCTTCCCCAGCAAATTCCAGAGGATCAAACCCAACCCCCTCCAGGATATTTTAGGAGTTGCTCTTCATCATCATCATTATTGTTTATTTTTTCTTTTTATTCTCACCCTAAAGAAATTCTGCCCAAAAAAATTTGGGATCAGAGCAGCCTCTTCCAAATCCCTGCATCCCTAAATCCCCCCCTCCTTTAACACAACCAAAAATCCCTCAAAATTCAATTTATTCCCACTTTCCCCTCGGCAAAAAAACGCTGTTATCTCCCCGAAAAACGAGAGGGAAACAGGGAATGCTGTCCTGGATCATCCTGGAATCGTTTTTTTCCCGGAATTTTCTGGAATACCTGCGGCCCTGGCTGGAGCTGAGCTGCTCCTTCATGGCTATGGAATGTTTGAGGAGGCTGTCGATGCTCTTGAAGTAAACACTGCTGTCGGTCATGCTCTTGATGGCACTGGAAAAGTGGGGGGAAAAGTGGGAAAAGTGGGGGGAGGATGGGGCTGGAATTCCCAAGTTTTGGTCGTTTCCCCTCTCATCCCAGGAAATCTCGAGTTTGAGGTGATTTTGCACTGTGGGAAGTTGGGAAAAAAACACAGCCCAAGGTCTGAAACGGCTGCTAAGGGTTCCCAAATCCCAGCTCTTCCCACCCTCATTCCAGGAATCCCACCCTCAAAGTGAAAATCCCAAATCCCAACTCATGCCCTGGATCCTGCTGTGTTTTCCACCCTGGAATTCCACCCTCAAAGTGTTTAAAGCTCATCCCAAATTCCATCTTCATTTCTTGGATCCCGCTGTGTTTTCCAGCCCAGAATTGCAGGAGTTTCACCCTCAGAGTGAAAATCCCAAATCCCAGCTCTTCCCTTCCTCATTCCCAGGATCCTGCTTCGATTTCCACCCTGAATTCCAGGAATTCCAGGAATTACCTGCAGGCATACTCCACGGTGTAAATGGCTCCCTGGCTCTGCTCCTCCCAGCTCTGCATGTCCGACTGGGAAGGAAAAAACGTGGATTAGGCAGGACCCAAACTGGGAATGAGGAGGCTGGGAAGGAATTCCTGGCTGGGCTGGAATTCCCAGAGCTGCCCCAGGCCGTGGAGAAGAAACCCCAGGGAAACCCTGGAGCCACTTCCAGATCCCAAAGTGACTCCAAGAGACCTGGAGAGAGGATTTGGGATAAGGGATGGAATTCCAGAGGGGGAATCCCAGGACGCAGGGAAACGGATTTAAACTGGAAAACGGGAGATTTGCGCGGGATTTTTGGGAAAGAATTCCCCCCGGTGAGGGGGAAGGGGCCGGAATTCCCAAAGCAGCCAGGTGTGAGGGAGCTGGGAGGGTGGGACGGGATCACCCCGGGGCTGCTGGAAGCTGGAATTGCTGGGCCAGGACTGACCTTGTGCTGGGCCAGCTCGGGCAGGGAGCGGCGGACGTGCTCCTGCAGGCGGAACAGCGCCACCGAGGGCTCGTTGGCCAGCACGTACAGGCTCTCCGTGAACTTGTCCGTCACTGCCGGGGGAAAAAAATCCTGGAATTACTGCGGATTAACCCACGGAAATACAGGGAAATAAATCCATGGAAATCCCGGGGAAAAATCAGCACAGAAATCCATGGAAATCCATGACATTACCTCCACAGAAATCCACGTAAATCCATGAAAATATCTCCATAGAAATCCATGGAAATATCTCTACGGATACCCATGGAAATATCTCCATAGATAGCCATAGGAATCCATGGAAAACCATAAAAATATCTCCACAGAAATCGATGGAAAACCATAGAAATATCTCCATGGAAATCCACATAAATCCATAGAAATATCTCCACAGAAACCCACGGAAGTATCTCCACAGAAACCCACGGAAAACCCTCCAAGGGATATCCAGAGGCTCTTCCCAACCCCAGCACGAGGGATAAAGCCGGGAATCCAAACGCGACACGCACCGCGAGCGGCCAGACCGCCACGGCGGAGCCTCTCACAGCCCATCCCCGTGGCCACCGGGCCGCTCCTTCCCCGGTCCCACCGTTCCCGGTCCCACCTTTCTTCACCTTCAGCTGCATCTCCGGCTCCTCCATCCCTCCCGCCGCCACTTCCGCTTCCGCCGCGCCCCGCGAAACTCCGCCCGGAAACCCGCGCAGAGGAAACAGCCCCGGCTGGAAACGCGGCCGCGGTGCTAAGTTCTGCTTAACTTGGTTCCCCCCCGAGTCCCCGTTGTCACCCGCGGGGACACTCGGTGGCTCCCGCTTTGTCACCCGCGGGGACAATCAGTAGCTCCCGCTTTGTCACCCGCGGGGACACTCGCTGGTTCCCCGTTTGGCCGTGCCCGCCCGGCCCCGCTGCCCTGAGAGGGCTCTGGGGGTGTCACAGCCTTTTCCTCCCGACGTGTCCCCGCAGTGTCCCCCCGGTGTCCCCCCGGTGTCCCCAAGGCCAGGCGGTCCCGGTGCCCCATGGCCACCCCGGGCCCGTCCCTCGTGGGGTTTTAAGGCCACCCTCAGAGGGGAGGTGGGGCCGGGCAGGGGCCCCGAATTCCCCCCCGCAGGAACGGGAAGTGAGGGGCGGGAGCGCCGGAGAGGCCGCGGTGAGACCGGGATGGGGATCGGGAACCGGGGATGGGGAACCGGGGATGGGATCGGGAACCGGGGATCGGGAACGAGAACCGGGGATGGGATCGGGAACCCGGGATGGGATCGGGAACCCGGGATCGGAGAGGGCGGAGAGGGGCTGGGAGGTGCCGGGGCTCCCCGGTCCGAGCTCGGAGGAGCTCCGGGAGCGAAGGTTTGGAGTGTCGGGAGTGCCGGGAATAGAGATGGGAATGGCGAGAGGGATCCCAGAAATAGGGATGGGAACAGAGAGGGAGAATCCCAGGAATGGGGAGGGGAAGGAGGATTCCAGGAATAGGGATGGGGACAGAAGGGGGACCCCAGGAATAGGGATGGGGAGGGAGAATCCCAAAAACAGGATGTGGGAAATAAGGGGGAGCCCAGAAATGGGGATGGGAACAGCAAAAGAGACCCCGGGAACAGGGGGGGCAGGGTTAAGGGGACCCCAAACCCCGCTGCAGTGTGGGGGTCACAGGCGCTCGGGGTCTGTCCCGCATGTCCCTGTTTTTGTTTTTTTTTCCCTGTTCCCATCCTTGTGCCGAGCAGTCAGAGGTGTCGGGGACCCGCCCGGAATTGGGTGAAAAAAGGGGGAAAAGAGCGAAAAGGCAGCAGAGGAGCTGGCGGCCACGGGGGACAGCGGGGTCCCCTCGGCCATGGCGCACCCGGAGAGCGGGGACGGTGAGTGGGGAATGCTGCGTCCTCCTGGGAAATGGGACCTGCTTCTGGAATATCCTGAGCTGGACGGGACCATCCAGCCCGGGACACCCCAAAATTCCCACCCCGGATTGCAGGGGGAGCCGAGACCCTGCGGAATTCCTCGGCTGCTTCCGTGGATTCCCAGAGCAGCAGCGAGCCCCTGGATGGTGAGTGTGGAAAAAATGCCTGGGATTTCTCATCCCAAAAATCCCTGGAAAGAGCTTCGAGCCTGGAAAATCCCATTCCAATCCCAATCCCACACTTTGGTGCAGGCTCCTCCTGCCAGCCCTGAGAGGTCGCTGCAGCTCCACGCTGGAATTGGAGATGGGAATCTCATTTTTCCTTGGATTTTTTTCCCCAATAAAACCCATGGGAAATCTCATTTTCCCTGGATTTTTCCCAAAAATCCCCATGGGAAATCTCATTTTCCATGGATTTTTCCCTGTAAAACCCATGGGAAATCTCATTTTTGAGATTTCCAAATTTGTAGAGAATAAACCCAATTTCATAGATAATAAACCCAAATTCAGTGAGAAAAAGAACCCAAATTAAGAGAGAATAACCCCAAATTCATAGAGAATAAACCCTAAATGAATAGAGAATAAACCCTAAATTCATAGGAATAAACTCAAATCAATAGAAAATAAACCCTAAATTAAGATAGTAAACCCAAATTAATAGAGAAAAAACCCCAAATTCATAGGGAATAAACCGAAATTGATAAGAATAACCCCAAACTCACAGGAAATAAATAAATTCCAGTGTACAGTAATGAATTGCTCTGTGCTGTTGCAGGTTTCCCCCTGAAGCATTCCAACACCTTGACCAACAGGCAGCGAGGCAACGAGGTGTCAGCACTGCCAGCCACGCTGGACAGTGAGTGCCACCAGTGTCCCCAGGGCACGGGGGACAGCGGCTGGGGCCACCCCGGGGTTTTGGGGACAGCTCCCACCCCCCAGAATTTCCGGGAATTGTTTTTCCCTGATGGATTTGTGTCTTCCAGCCCTGTCCATCCACCAGCTCGCTGCCCAAGGCGAGCTCATCCAGCTGAAGGAGCACCTGAGGAAAGGTTGGTGTCCCTTTGTCCCCGCCAGGTGCCCTGAGGTGACCTCAAACCCTCAGCTTGGTTTTCGCTCAGCCATAAAACCGCTGGGTTTGGGGGGAGATTTTTCCATTTTTGGAAATCGGAAAAATCCTCCAAAATCGTTAATTGCAGCCATCCATGAGGTGGTTGAGGTGGTTTTCCAGCCCTCACTGGTTTTACTGGTGCAGGTGGGAGCACAGGGGCGCTCACGCTGCTGTTGTCACCTCCCCCAGGTGAGAATTTGGTGAACAAACCCGATGAGAGAGGCTTCACCCCCCTCATCTGGGCTGCAGCTTTTGGGGAGATCGAGACCGTCCGGCACCTCCTGGAGTGGGTGAGCCCGGGCACCTCCCAGCTCCAGGGGCTTCCAGAGGGCCCAGAACAGACCTGGGGGCTGGATTTAATCCTGGGGGCTGGATTTAGTCCTGGGGGCTGCCCCTCTAGTCCTGGGGGCTGCCCCTCTAGTCCTGGGGTCCCTCTTTTATTCTGAGATTTTCTTCTTTTATTCCAAGACCTTTGTCTTTTATCCTGGGATCTCCCTTTGCCATCCTGATTTCCCTTTTTTATCCTGGGATCTGCCTCTGTTTTTAATCCTGGAACCTCTCTCTTGTTTTTAATCCTGGGATCTGCCTGTGTTTTTAATCCTTGGATTTCCCTTTTTTATCCTGGGCTCTCCCCCTGTTTTTCATCGTGGGATCTCTCTCAAACTGAGCAGGAAAACTGCAACACACGACCAAAATCCCCAAAATAAGCGGGGGGAGATCCATGAGAGATTTTTACTGAACTCCAGGAGGGATGTGTGGCTGGCAGGGCTGGGAGAACAGGGAGGTTTTTCATGGAAATCAGTAAAAAAAAAAAGGGGGGGATCAGACAGGGAAAAAGGGGCTGAGGATCCATCAGCACTGAAATGGGGTTTTTATTTTTTAAGCCTCACCTGAGGTTCTGGAGGGAAATGAAACCATTGCCAGTCAGGGTTTTGGTGAGGGGAGGGCACTGGGAGCGCTGGGGCGGCGCCCGTGGGAGGGTGGCAGTGGGCGGTGTCACCTGGTTGTCACCTGGCTGTCCCCGCTGTCCCCTGGCTGTCCCCGCTGTCCCCTGGTTGTCACCTGGCTGTCCCCTGGCTGTCCCCTGGCTGTCCCCTGGCTGTCCCCTGGCTGTCCCCGCTGTCCCCAGGGCGCCGATCCCCACGCGCTGGCCAAGGAGAGGGAGAGCGCCCTGGCCCTGGCCAGCATGGGCGGCTACACCGACATTGTCACCATGCTGCTGGACAGGGACGTGGACATCAACACCTACGACTGGGTGAGTGCCACCTGCACGGCCCGGGGACAGCGGGGACAGGGGGACAAACCTGCCCAGTGCCACCTGCACGGCCTGGGGACAGCGGGGACAGCGGGACAAACCTGCCCAGTGCCACCTGCACGGCCTGGGGACAGCGGGGACAAACCTGCCCAGTGCCACCTGCACGGCCCGGGGACAGCGGGCCTGGAGCTGGGAGAGGCTGGAATGGGATCCCAGTGAGTCCCAGTCTGGAACTGGGACAGGCTGGAATGGGATCCCAGTGAGTCCCAGTGTGGAACTGGGACAGGCTGGAATGGGATCCCACTCCAGCACTGGCACAGGCTGAAAGGGAAGAATCCCAGAAAGCTGCCGAGTGATCCCAGTGAGAAGCAGGGTCTGAGCGAGCTCATTAACGCTCATTAACGCTAATTACCGCTCATTAATGACCTTCCCCCCCCCAGAACGGGGGCACCCCCCTGCTCTACGCCGTGCGTGGGAACCACGTGAAATGTGTGGAGGCCCTGCTGGGTAAGGCACAAATCCTGCAGATCCCAAACCTGGAATTGCTGCTCCCCTGCCCGGGGGCAGCTTTTGGGGTCCCTTTTCCCCCGCTCTGTGCCCACAGCTGGAGGTGCTGACCTGACGGAGGAGGCGGATTCGGGGTACACCCCCATGGACCTGGCCGTGGCCCTGGGACACAGGAAAGGCAAGAAAATCGGGATTTCACCTCAGAAAATCGGGATTTCACCTCAGAAAATGGGGGATTTCCACCTCAGAAAATGGGGATTTCCACCTCAGAAAATGGGGGGTTTCATCTCAGAAATTAGGAGTTTCCCCTCAGCAAACTGGGGTTCTCCCTCATAAAACGGGGATTTTCCCTCAGAATACAAGAGGCAAACAGTGACCAGATCCTTCCCAGATCCCAGAGTTTCCCAAAATCCCAGCCCTGTCCCTCCCTCAGTCCAGCAGGTGATCGAGAACCACATCCTGAAGCTGTTCCAGAACAAGAAGAAGAAGAAGAAGTGAGATGGCAGCTCCAGCTCGTCCCAACCTGGAACTCCAGCCATGGAAAAAAACCAGGAATTTCTGCCCTCCATGCATCCAAGCCTCTCCTAAAAATCCAGGGACCGAAATTCCAGCCCTGGCTGGGCTCTGCTGCTCTGTGTTTCCTGCTGGAATTAAACTCTTAATTGGAATTAAATTTGGGAGCTGCTCTGTGGAGCCCAGTCTGCTTCCTCAGCTCATCCCAATCCAAATTCTTTGGGCAAACTGGGTGAAAATCTGCCCCTCAGCATTCTGGAATTCTGGAATTATTTGCCCCTCAGCATTCTGGAATTCTGGAATTATTTGCCTCTCAGCATTCTGGAATTATTTGCCCCTCAGCATTCTGGAATTATTTGCCCCTCAGCATTCTGGAATTATTTGCCCCTCAGCATTCTGGAATTCTGGAATTATTTGCCCCTCAGGATTCTGTCCCCGTGGAAAGGGAAGCTCCCATGAAGCTGCCAAGCCCCTCCAGGATCCTTGCAGGATTCTGTGGCTGCCGCCCCACACGCTCAGGGCTGCTGTCACCGAGGTGAGGGGACATTTCTCCTCTTTGTCCTGAGGCCAAAGCCCCGAGGGCTCATCCAGCCAGCAGAGATCTAAATGAAATAATCTCCAAAATGTCTTTTATTGATCCCATGGCACGCCTGTGTGCCACCTCAGGGGACAGGGATCCCCCTCGGGGCGTTTCCAGGGTCCCCAGAGTGGGGACAGCCCCCCTAGAGCCTCTCCCCCAGCACCCCCAGGTGATAAACCACGACCCTCCCAAAGAAATCCGTGCTGCTCCCGAAGGTGATCTTCAGCTTGTCCAGCACGGTCTCCTCCACCTGGAACCTGTGCAGGATTCCCAGTGAAGGAATAACGCTGGCATTGGGGTGCCACACCCACCCTGAGCAGCAGAATTCCCAAAAATTCCCCGAATTCTGCTCCCCCACCTCCCCAAGCCGTCATCCTGGCAAAGGATATTTGCATGGCGTGGTTGTCCTGGGGGTACAGCTCTGATATTTTCACCAGTTCCTCACCTGTTCTGCAGCCTGGGCAGGGTGAAAGGGGAGCCTCAGGTGATCCCAGGAGCCTCCAGGTGCTGCCCCAAAATCTTTCCCAAAATCTTCTCTGGCTCCCTCCAGCACCCAGAGGCTCCCAGCTCCTCTCCCAAAATCTTCCCTGGTTCCCACCAGCACCCAGCTCCTCTCTGTTCACCCAGGGAGCTGCTCCAGGTGCTCCTGAAGCCCTCCTGGGCTTCGGGAATGGCTGATAAATCACTCTGAGCCTCCCCCTCACACCTGGGAGCCAGGTGTGGCTAAACTGAGGCAGGAGCTCACAGTCCTCACCCTCCTGTCACACCTGGGAGCCAGGTGTGGGTAAACTGAGGCAGGAGCCCACAGTCCTCACCTTCCAGCGTGCACAGCCGGCTGGAAAATCCCCCCTGGAATTGGATGTGGAGCTGTGAGACCTTGACAGGCCGAGGGAAGTCCAGGGTGACCCACTGGGACGTGCCCTGCGTGGGGACAGGAGTGTCACAGAGGGGACAGAGAGAGGGGGGTGGCACAGCTCCTGTGTCCCCTGCCCGTGTCCCCACACCTGGTCCGAGTTCCAGCAGGTCTCCTCGCTGCCATCAAACAGGTGCTGCTTCCCAAACTGCTTCACGTCCCGGTTCAGCACGGAGCTCACCCTGCAGGGACAGTGCCACCACCCCTGGGGACATTAGGGTATGACAGGGGACAGCAGGTGACAGGTGTGGCAGGTAGGAAGGGGTCAGGACTCACCGCGTGGCCGTGTGGGCACAGACCAGGGGCTCCACGGGCATCGCTGCCTGAGGAGAGACCCGGTCAGGGAGGGGCAGCA